ATGTGACTCGCTGACGCAACAATACTTACCGCATATTCTGTCAGTTCTCCATGTTATTTAGTGTTTTAATTAACTGTTTTATATAACTTTGAACTGTAATATGCCACAGTTTGTAATGTTAGGACATTAGAAATGGAAAATAAACAAGTTTCGTTGATGTGCACAGTCAGACCTTCAAATACCTCTAGTGATTATTTAAACTAAAACATCGAGATATCTTAAAACAATATTTAAATTTTAATAATATAGAGCATGGTACTGGTGCCTCTTAACTCTCTTGCAACATATAATTCCAAGTTTCAGCTATAATGTAGAATAAATTATTATTTTTTATTACTAATATGATTTAAGCTATAGGAAACTTTATAGAAACATTTTTATTATTCGATGTATTAAATTCTACAAATCTCTTGGTTCCGCCGCCTGGAGACATTAGAAAATCAAGCTAAACCAGCAACACAATTGACCATTTTATTACTTACTGCTTTGCAGATAAGTTACATCATCCAAAGAAAAGCATATCAGACACGGGGAAAGAGAGAGATTTCATTGGATATCGTCGTCCCCATTGCCCAATCAGCATTCAAACTTTTATCGCACATTTCCACATAAGGTCACCTTCAAAAACTTCCGTAGTCTAGTGTTGTGGCGAAGGGTTAGTGTTTGTAGAGCCGGTCTGTTTCTACGTTATCGTACCTATCGCCTTTTCTCCCAGTTATATCTTTTGGTAAGTATATATATTTTGCTTTCTTTCATATCATCTGAAGTTGTGTAAGGTAATAGTTGCCGTTGTTATTTCTTTAATTAGTAGGTATTATTCAGCTTCATGATAGGCCAAAGTGTTTTTACTTATAGTTGTACTAAGTTGAAATTTAGTATTATATTATTTATATTGTACTATACTGATTATAATGGCTTACTCTATTCAGACTATTGTATTTGTACCCACAAATTAAAACATTATTTTTAATTTGCTGTTACTTGTATTACTATTAGTTTTACTATTAATATTAGTGATAATGCTGAGTGAAGCCCTCCCATTGGAAACAATTTTAATATCCGTCAACATAAGAATTAACACATATGATATAGTTCTCACGATATAAGTTACATACGTTTTCTTCACTAAACGTCAACAAGTTCGGGAAAAGTGAAAATTGAAACCCACACTCTATTTCTTCAATAAAATATCAATTCTCTTATAACTTGTAAAAGTCTGGCTTCCACTACTGTCAACAGCTATTCATTCCATAACTCAAGTATCTCGTTAGAATAATACAACTGTTTTACCTAGAATCTTAAAACATTTATCATATATCTAATATTTCTTCTCAAGATACCTTCACATAACGTGAACAAAAAAGGATGGTCAGCTTGGTTAAAATTTAATTTACCTTCAAATTTTGACGTTGTCTTGAATAACAAGCAAAATGAGAGATGATATTTGAATAAGTTGCTTGGGTCATTTAAAGTAATTTATTGTTATTTTGTGGGGGCGAATTATTTTATTTGGTGAAAATAATGCGAAGTCCAGACTATGAACAAAGTAGTTTAACTTTCCCCTAACGTTTGCTACAGGTTACCAATATAAGTATAACTTGCCCATAGTCTATTGTTTTAGGTCCAAGTTCAACAGTAGGGTTACACTTTCAACTAAAAGTTGCTCGCTAATGCCAGTAATGGTACTACAACTAACGTACAAAACCTTTTTTTCTTCTTTTAAAATTAGGATTCAAATGTGTAACCCGTCCCTCCCCAAGATTTTGCTGAAATAGCGCCACTGATTGTTTCGCGGAAATGAAAGGGCCACATTGAACTTTCTCGATATTATCAGAAAAAAGTTTAGGAAACTTGATTTTTAATAAGAAGTTGATCAGATTTTGGCTTATTAAACCTGTAAGTGACGAAATTTCATTTACTGCATTTTGGAGGCAAAATCTCTTACCATTTATTCGTGCTTGCATAGTGATTAAGACGTGTTTTGTTTACACCTTAACGTTGTTACTTCTTCGATCAATGTATGGGTAAATCTGACATAGCGTTTCTATGATTATATTAAAGTAGCCGTTCTTGCTCGGTGTTACCCGAGTATTACCTGAACATAGAGCCGAAGTTTAACTATTTTTAAACAGAAAGGCTCAAAATTTCGCTTTTCTATGAATATGAAATTATATGGGGGGGGGGGGATTCTATCTCTCATGTAGTTTCGTTTACTAATGAACTCTGTGTATGTTTACTTTTTACATAAAACCTATAAAAATTGAACATTAATCGTTAGGTTAAATTATTAATTACTATGTTTGACAATTTTTTTTATCCATGTAGAGCATCAGGATAGACAATGTTGCGTGTTTTTTTTCTTTCATTTGGCGCCAAGATAAAAAGGTTCTTGTCATATCCAACTATGAAGCAACCAACATGAGAAATTCATGGACTTTCAGATTGATGCTAGTAACTTTGAGTGATTGTCCCTGTGCCTTAAAAATAGTTTTTTTTAGATACAAACGAACAAACACTTAAATATAATCAATTCCGCTAATAATATGAATTCTAACACTTTTTCCATCCTTTTTTTAACCTGTTGTTACGAACTTATCATTTCCGCCAGTAATGTAAGAAAATATGAATTCTAACATTTTATGCCTGATTTCTTTTTATAAATGTAAAACAATATCAGATTTGTAACAGGTCTTAGAAAAATAGTTGTACAGAGTAAAACTTAATCGCTTGTTCAGCCCGCGATCACATTAGCCAAACTAACCAACTTGCTTTGTAATTTATAATCAAAGACAATATTTAGAAACTTGTACAAACACATTATCTTTCTCAATTTAATAATAAAGAAATGCAAACGAAACCTTATATGTATATAATTTTTTATTGCTTTCTTTATTCATTAACACATTTTAAAAATTAATACTATGGTAATTAAACATGCACATACACGCAGAAAAGTAGTGTATGTTGCATATATTACACGTATCAAATGCTATCTATGTTCGCCAACTTTCAGTTAAAGGCTTTTACTTGTACTTCTTGATAATAATAATAGTATAAATATAAACTGTTTTTGTTAGGCTTAGGATTATTCTACAGTAGATGTCTGAGATTTGTTGGCGATGAATGAATAGCACGCACTCCACTTGTTTTTAAAATAATACTATATAATATTGTTACGACAGCGGAAGTCACGTGACGCTAGTAACACGTCATGAGATTCTAGAA